TGAAGGCATTGAGCTCGGCCTCTTGCCTCCAAGCCAGTGGTCAATCCACCAGTCGGAAGCATCCGCCTTCATCTGGAAAGCGGCAAGAGAAACACGTTGTCTTTCCGGGAGAGGGAGCACAGCGAAAATCTTGTCCAACTCCTTAATCCATTCCAGCACTGTGGGGTTCTCAGTCCCCGAGAAGGTTGGTGCATGCATGTTCTGGAACTGGACTATGAGCCTGGTAAAGTCCATAGCCGGAGGGGCATGGTGATGATGAGGAGATGGAGGCGGAGACAGAGTCGGGGAAGGCTGATGGTTGCGAGCATTACGACGAGCCATAGTTCTACATTGAAAAATGGCCGAGGAATTTAGTACAATAAATAACACAGGGAGGTCTAGAGTTCGCCATGAAACACTAGAGTTCAAAATATCCTCGAAGAATTCATGAAATAAACCAACGAGAATTGAACGAATAATGATGAACAAATTATAACAAGGGAAATCAGCCATGAAACCGATCTCCGCGAATTGACAAGCACACGCGATTGGATCATCAACATGAATCCGACACCTAGACTCCACTCTCGGTTCTCATTAACCGGGTTCTAACACGCGCCTAATAGTTATATCCACCATATCGAAAACTCAAAACCAAGAACTTCTAAGGACAACACTTAGCTCCATACTACTGGAGTTCAAGCCCGTATAAACGGAGGTTAAATTCCTAATCCCCAATAACAGAACAAACCATAATCACGTTATGGACAATAAATCAAACAATGAAACTCATACCTTGAGCTGGCGCGGCGAGACGAAGCGAGTGATCGAAATGGTCATTAAGTACACAATCAAAATAGACAGTCTACAGAAACGCAGACTGGCTCTGATACCAAACTGTAACGCCCCATTTTATTTCAAAGAATTTACCGAATAAATTTAGAAAAATCTTAGTATATATATTTTTTTAAATCAATTCAAAATTTAAAACTCGTTGGGCGCTACTTAACTATCGACAACATTTAAATAATTACAACAAATAATTAAATGCTACACATGCATAAGCCAACACTTATAAAAATAAATTGGCACATTCATAAGTCTCAACGTCATTCAAAAAGCTTAACATAAATCCATGGTTTCAAGCGGAAGCATAAATAAGCCAGAATGAAAGCAATTAGTTTATCATAAATAAAATAGGCGGAAGCGAAAGACACATCCAATAAATGACCACCATCTCGCTCGTCTCTACGCCACCGCCTCCAGCTCATCTCAACCTAAAGAAGGAGAGAAAACAACAACAAAAAACAAACAATGAGGGTGAGCATAACCAACAAGCTCACCATTATTGCACAGTTATCCAGTATAAAGCATTTTAAAACATTTTCACAGTATGCATAAAATCCAAGGTCTAAACTCTGTACTCAGCTCTATCGCAAACCTCCTATGTACATACAACAACCTTCCAAATATAACAACATAGAAGTAACTGGAAACCTTCCCACCCCCAGGTACGACGGTTCGTAGGATCCTTTCCAGGAGACAGTGGAGATGTTTTTCCCCTTCTGGGTACAACGGCTTGGGGCGTCTCCTCCTGGATACAACGGGCAGGTGACCTCATACTGTTTTCGCATTCATCAAAGGCACTATTGTACGGGAAACCTAGACTAGGTTTCTCACGCATACAATAATTTTCAAACGAAGCATTATACGAATAAAGAGTGCAATAATTATGGAATACATCACAAATGTACCCACCTGATTGCAGCGACAAAACAACACACGAAGCTCGAACGAATAAGAATTGAGGTCAACGCCTCCAAACACCTACATGAATCAAGTTAACCTCTCGATTACAAAAACATCCAACGATCACACAAACTTAGTCGAAACTCGTCGACTAAGTGGCTCGTGGGAATTTCTCGTGGAGTTATGGACATACGACTCGACTCAAAATCAATTAGGGGAAAAATACACACACAAAAAAAAAAAAATGCTAACTCACAATCTACTCAAGCCGTTAACTAGAAATTTTAAAACACTTATAGAACATATGAAGAGCATATCATATATTAAAAATTTATGCCAAAATCCCAACTTAAGCATAGCAAATCAATTTTGGGAACTTTTACAATATAAACATGTTTTCAAATTCATACAGAAAATAAAAGAGTTTTACTTTGAAAATTGAACACATGATACACATCCCTGAACATAAAAACTTCACCAAATCTCAGTCCTTGCACATAAACATGGGATTCAAATAATTAAAACAAAATCGCAGCAAATAACACCTATAATTTATAAGCTGACCTATAGGGGAAATTAAATCCTGAAATTTTAATGGCATAAACTACAGCACATAAGGCCTGTCACATAAAAATTTCAGATTAAAATACTAAATACACGACTTACAAAAAATGTTACAAGTTTCAACGAAAACCAAGCATTTAATATATTGTCAAATTTCCCAAAATTGATTTGTTATGCTTAAGTTGGGATTTTGGCATAAATTTTTAATATATGATGTTCTCTTTATATGTTCTATCAGTAATACTAAGGAGCCAACTGTTGGCTCCATTATGGAGCCAACAGCCAATTATACAGCTCCATGTAAGGTTGTCCCACATGACTTTAATATGGGCCAGCCCCACATGGAGCTGTCCCATTGGCTGTTGGCTCGGTTAGGGAGCCAACAGTTGGCTCCCTAGCATTACTATATGTTCTATAAGTGTTTAAATTTCTAGTTAACGGCTTGAGTATATTGTGAGTTAGCATTTTTTTTTCTTTTTTTTTTTGTGTGTGTTTTTCCCCTAATTGGTTTTGAGTCGAGTCTTATGTCCATAACTCCACGAGAAATTTCCACGAGCCACTTAGTCGACGAGTTTTGACTAAGTTTGTGTGATCGTTGGATGTTTTTGTAATCGAGAGGTTATCTTGATTCATGTAGGTGTTTCGAGGCGTTGACCTCATTTCTTATTCGTTTGAGCTTCGTGTGTTGTTTTGTCGCTGCAATCAGGTGGGTATATTTGTGATGTATTCCATAATTATTGCACTATTTATTCGTATAATGCTTCGTTTGAAAATTGTTGTATGCATGAGAACCTAGTCTAGGTGTGCCGTACAATAGTGCATTTGATGAATGCGAAAACAGTGGGAGGTCACCTGCCCGTTGTATCCGGGAGGAGGCGCCCCAAGCCGTTGTACCCGGAAGGGGAAAAACATCTCCATTGTCTCCTGGAAAGGATCCTACGAACCGTCGCCCGAGGGTGGGAAGGTTTCCAGTTACTTCCATGCCGTTGTATCCGGAAGGTTGTTGTATGTACATAGGAGGTTTGCAATAGGGCTGAGTAGGGAGTTTAGACCTTGGATTCTATGCATACTGTGAAAATGTTTTAAAATGCTTTATACTGGATAACTATGCAATAATGGTGAGCTTGTTGGTTATGCTCACCCCCATTGTTTGTTTTCTGTTGTTGTTTTATCTTCCTTCTTTAGGTTGAGATGAACTGGAGGCGGTGGTGTAGAGACGAGCGAGATGGTGGTCATTGATTGGATGTGTCTTTTGCTTCCGCCTATTTTATTTATAATAAACTAATTGCTTTCATTCTGGATTATTTATGCTTCTGCTTGAAACCATGGATTTATGTTAAGTTTTTTGAATGATGTTGAGACGTATGAATGTGCCAATTTATTTTTATAAGTGTTGGCTTATGCATGTGTAGAATTTAATTATTTGTTGTAATTGTTTAAATGTTGTCTAAAGTTAAGTAGCACCCAATGAATTTTAAATTTTGAATTAATTTAAAAAAATATACATATATACTCAGCTTTTTCTAAATTTATTCGGTAAATTCTTTAAAATAAAATAGGGTGTTACAATCAAACTATGGTATTTGATATAGAGTACGATGGTGATAATAAGGAAAAACAAAGAGGATGAAAAAGAAAAAGAAGGAGAAGAGAAGTGGAAGGGAAAATAAACAGTAAAAAAAAATTTGCCTATCCTTCTAAATTCATACCTGAAAAACAAAGAGGATGAAAAAGAAAAAGAACGAGAAGAGAAGTG